CCATCTGCCAGCGGCTCTGCAGGGAGCAAGGGGAGGGCAGAGCTGTTACACCCCGTGGACGAGGCCGCTGCACCCGCCACGGCGCCCACAGGGCCCAACAACCCCCTCAGGGTCCCCCCGAGAGCCCCGGCCACGCACGAGGTGAAGGCGCTCACTGCCGTCCAGCAAGGCCACCCCGATGGAGGGGACAAAGCCCGGGGACACGGAGCACCCACAGGGCTGCTCCTGGGGTTAATGCAACCCCAATGTCCCCACGGGGTCCAGCTGACCGCTCACATTCACAGTGTCCCCTGGCACGCAGAGGTGTCGCAGGTCCTGGGACCCTGGGCAGCCTGGAGAGCTCAGTCTTGGTTTATTAGCGCCAGCTCTGAAGGCTCCCTTACCTTTGGTGGCCCCGGCAGCCCCCAGGTGGTAGATAGCCCCCAGGACGAGCCAGAAGGCCTTCTGCTCATCGCTGGAGATGCCCATCACCTTCATGGCAGCCTGGAGCTTGTTGAACTGCTGCGTTGCCTTCTGCTTCTCCTCTGGCTGCAGGGAGGGAAGGGACACGATCAGCACGGGGGCCACAGCACCGCTCGGACCGAAACCTCTGCACCGCGCAGGGGAAGCGCGACCGAACGGGCTGGGGGCACCTCCACAGAGGTCCCCTTGCCCAGGGGGACAGGGCCAACCCCTGGGAAGGGCTTTCCCGGTGCATTTTCCCAGCTGGCAGCAGCATCAAGATGCAGGACGTCCCAAAGCCCCAGTCTCCGTGACACCAGGCCCCAGGACCCTCGGCTCAGCCCCCCGCAGTCCCACAGGGAAGGAGCAAGTGACCTTGGAAAGCGGCGCGATGCCAAAGACGTTGTTCTCCGCCAGGTGGTTGAAGTGAAGCTCAGTCCTGCAGGGACAAACATGGAGATTTGTCCCATTTAACAGTCCCACACGGCAGAGCGTCTGCAGGAGGGAAAGCCCAAAGCCCAGGCAGGGGCCAGCTGGTCCCCAAGCCCTCGCCGCGCTCACCGCAGGGCATTATCGGAGCAGGCCAGCAGGTAGTAGAAGACGTTGAAGGTGGCTTCGTTGGCCGGGCGCCGGGCGACGCGGAGCTTCTCGAGCAGCAGCGTCTGGGAGAGGTTGGGGACGTTGGGACCCGTCCCCGGGGGACCAGGGTCCTGGCCTCATCCGTGTCACCCACTGCCAGCACCCCTGTCCCTGCAGCACCTTCCTGGTGCTGGTGCAGTGCGAGGGGCTCCGCATCCTGCCGCGGAGCTGTGTTAATGCCAATAGCGCCCGCGCAAGCCGGAGGCACCCGAGTTCCCTGCGGCTGCTCGCAGTGACGAGCAGTGCCTGTAACTACAGCCCCGAGTGGCTCTGCTAGATGTTAGGGACTCATTATCACACTGGGATGGCCCTTGGAGTGAAATACCCTCGAAAAAGGGCTAGTTTGGCAAGGGAAG